TATCTATCTATCTATCTATCTATCTATCTATCTATCTATCTATCTATCTATCTATCTATCTATCTATCTATCCCTGTAAGGATTGCTGCTTAAAGAGAGCAAATAGAACAAACCAACAGCAAAACTTTGAAATGTGAGGCAGAGTTACATGTATTTATGTTCTTTTAATTGGTTTCTGTTTCAGGCAGGGCTTTTAAACATGCTGACAAATCTCACACAGATTTTGTGGGCAAGGAGAGTTACTTATTCCGGTGCTTAGATTTTTGAGTTGTCTCAGACAAGGGGAAGTAATAAACTTGTTTGCTTCCCTTTTTTTAAACTTCAGTTTTCTTTTGTGTAATACATGTCCCCTGTATATACTAGGAAAGTCCATATTGTGACCCAGAAGCTCAAAAGTACTTGGGTGTGCACAGGGTGTGGTTAAAAGAAAAGAAAAAAGAAAACAGTCAAGATAGCAGCTGCAATGTTGCAATCAAAACCACAGTTTTTAATGGGTGCTATGTAAGTGGCACACATAAAAAACAGGTGTAACTTCAGTTTCCCATTTTCTGCTTTTCTTAAATGACCGCAAATTGGTAGAACGAGAAAAAAGGCAGTCAATCTTCCACTTTCTCCTTTTTCTTCCTAAATTATTTTTGCATCAACAAGACCCAGATATTGACTTTACTTCTTACTGGAGAGTTGCTTCACCTTTTAATACGTGTAATATTTGGCTTGCCACAAAACTCTGATACATAACTTTTCCTCATTGGTCTTTTGGCCACCATGTTTGATTAGTGTTTTCCAGCAAGCTGCGATTCGGTTGTATATGATCACCAAATTGGATATTTGTTGCCCTTGGAATGGGCTACCTTAAAGATAGAAGTGGAAATCTTAGCTCCACACTTGATATGGAATTGTATATCACCATTTTATCCACTGTGGGGAGTGGTGCAGTGGCCTAGAGGTGGAGCACTCGCCTCAAAATCAGGAGGCTGTGAATTCGATTCTAGGTAGAGCCGGCTGGTTTTGGGGCTAAGCCACCCCATAGAGGTGGTGAAGAGGGGGGAGACTGCTTGCAGGGTTGAGGAGAGCCGCACCTCTCCTCCCCAGCTGGCCATTACT